GAGTGAGCTTGGCAGTGGTGATAAGACTGGCAGAGGGAGGAGAAAGGGCAAGGGTAGTTTTATGGTGTTGAGTCAGGCTGTTGCCGAGACAAGGTCTGAGAGCAGAGTAGGAAGGCTTAGAGCAGGCACAAGAGTGACTGAGGAGAAATCACTCTGCTCTGGGTGTCATGGTCCATCAGGGTCACTACTCTGGGAGCTGAGCTGGCAAAACTTAGGCAGAGAGTGTGCAGAGGGGAGAAATCTTGAAATGTTGCCTCTCCAGAGACACTGTAAAATTGAAGTTATGAAAACAGTGAAGCATGGCACCGGGCCACAGATTTATGTCAGTTCTCCACAAACTGGAGTTTGGATTGTGAGCAAAATGTGCTGGGAGTGTTGTATCCGCTGTGTAAAATCGATATGTGTGTATGGATCAGGTATGTGAGATAAGGGAATGACAGGCAAACATAGATACATAACTGTCACTTAAGCCACAGTAGTACAGGTTTGTTAGTGACATGCTGTGCCTTTCTCATTTTAGCATGAACTAATGAAAAAAGGCTGAGGAGCAATGAAAATACTTGAAATGCATTTTTACAGAGGTGGTTTAATCTGTTGGACTAGATGGTTGCAGTTGCACAATAACTGATTTAGGCTTTCTCAGCAGCTCTTTCAAGGCTGAGAGCTATTGCTGGATGGGCATTGTGCTTAACAAAACGCGTTCTGCATTTTATACCATTTCAGATGCATCCTGTATCAAGCCTAATTCCTACAAACGTCCCTCATCTAAGGCTAACCTAACTGAACTCTGTGCCCTGGGCTGTGTTCACAGCAGCACAGTCCTGCTGCATGTTGTCTCGGCACCAGTGGGTGCTATAGTTACGGGTATATCCCGGCATCTGTTTCCCCTTATCAAGAGGACTGTTGAAAGAGGTAAATGATGAAGGGCTGGAGCAGAACGTGGAACAACTCAAGCGAAGCGCTGCGGGGAGCAGCAGCCCTCTCATACAATCCATCTCTGAAACTGTTTAGATGGAAGGGGGTCTGCATGGCTGTGAAATAGCTTCTGTCAGGTGCTAATACAAGGAAACACCAAAGAGTTGCTCAGAATCAGAAATCCGATAATCTTAAAGTTGTTGTTTTGTCACATTGCTTTTAAGTGAGTTTGTGCAGTCTGTTAAAACTGAAAGCCAAGTTAATGTGCAGTCCTCAAGCCAAATCCACAGTCTTGTCATGGTTGGTGCAAATTACGTTGAGAGAAGATAGTTGTACAGTTGGGTCTGAGAACTCTGTAAGCTTATTGCGAGAAAAGGCGTTTTTTGCCTGTACTTTTACAATCCTGACATCATCAGTGTTCCTCAGGAGGAATCTTTGAAATTCAGGTTGAGCCTTTACAGCCCAGACAGATCTCGGAGCTCCTCCTAGTGAGTTCGTACACTGTGGCTCGGAGAAGCGCTCGCCTCCGGGTTGGGAGGGACGGACTGGAGAGCAGTCAGCACACAGCAGCCCTCAGTAGGGAAATTTTTGGCCAAAGGTGTGGGTTACGTCCAGGTCATATTATGCATCCAGCAAATTTGTTTGTAGTTTCTTTGGCAAAGGCTTGGGGATGTGCACACGTGCGTAGATTCACATACGCTTTCCATCTCCTCCTGTGTGGAAGCAGGCACCGCTCCTGTTTTTCCTGTGTAGAATCTGTGATCTATTCTGGTAGCTGCATCGTGCGGTACAGCCTCCAGTAAATATTCACAGATTTCCTTGTAAGCTGATGCTTTTTTTTGTTTCCTCTCTCCTGTGTGGATACACAAAGGCATGTGTTGTACCTGCTTTACCCTGTGGGATCTACATAATCAGGTCCACGGGTTTTAATGGATTTCAACTCCCTTCTGTCTACGGATATGGTTTCCTGTCTCGTTTTGAGCAGGAAGAGCTGAGTCTTTTTTGGTCTTAGCAATCGGCTTTGGGAAGAGTTCTCCGGCTATTTTCCTGTTTGATTTTTGTGTGTGTTTTGTTTTAAGCAGGACAGAGTGCATGTGTGTATGTAATCCATGTGCTCAATTAAGAGAGGCATCTGTTGGGTTTATTTCACATTGCCGAGGAAGGACTGCAAGCAGGGAGCATCTGCTCGGGTTTTTGTCAATGGCTTGTTTTTCATAATTTGCTCTACAGGGTGAATGTTTGGGGAGGGGGAGGTGGCTTTTTATTTCTGAGTTCCATCTTAAATTTATTTTTCTGGTAGCCAGGGAAATTGGCAGGGCTTTGAAAGTTAATTTCTCTATGAAAAGAACTGAAGAGGGAGAAACAAAACCATCCAAAGTAAATAGTATTTATGTAACCTTGATAATACATTCAGAAGGACCCTTATAAACCATTATTTGTGGTATTTTAATGTCAAAGTAAAAAGAATTTGTTACGGTGCTTTTTTAACATCAACAGGAGGTTTTGTTTTGTCTTTTAAAAAAAAAATAGCAAATTTTGGATAATTTCATTTTAGGGAAAGGCGGGAAGGGCATCCAACACTAAGATGCTTTTTTGGCATTTTGTCAGCAGCAACAACAACAACAAAAGTCTGGTTTTAAAATAGAGCAGCAGTGATTTCCTGTTCTTATAGTTTTTGCTTTTGCGCATTCAGACGTTGGCTGTATTGCACCTAGCTGATCTAGTGAGAGATTTTATTGTCTGTAAATGTATGTGCTTCCAAGGCTGCTAAACATGCTGGGAGTGTTTTATACAAGTGTGGTTTTTACACTTTTTTTGGTGGAAAAGTCCTCCAGACGGGTTGTGGAGGATAAGGAGTTTGTGATGCCCTCCGAGGACACAGCTGCTGGTGCAGCACAGGGAACTGAGGAGGAGAAAGCCTGAAACCCCCCCTAATCCCACAAGTGAAAGACAAATCTTACCCATCGCAATCAAACAAACAAGGGTACAATCTTGCAAGTGTAGACATAGATGCCGTGCAAGAGCAACCTGAGGGCAAGATTTGAGTCTTACTGAAAGTATTTAAAGAAATAGGATTTTAAAAAAAACTAATCGTATCTTGTTCTGTTAAGTGAACCCCAAGCCAGCACACTTATTAAGCCTCTTTGAAACGGTATTAAATCTGTATCTTCCATGCCACAACTTGTCATGGAAGAGGAAGAATGAAGCATTAATAAAAATAACTTTCCTGACAGCTCAGTCCCATTCCATTGCAAGAGAATATATATATGTGTATATATATACATATATAATTTGAATATGTCACGGTATAAATATGTATAACTTTTCTGTCAGATAAATGCCACTGAGCTGAACAACTTTGTTGACATCAGTTAACAGTATAAGCGTTTTATAAAAAGCAGCCAACAGCAGTTGGTGTGCAAAATGTAAATGCAGGGCTGGCTGCAGGGAGCAGGCAGACAGGCTTACTTCTGGGGCTTCAAGTAACCTTGACTGTCACAGAGTTACGGAACCTGAAGTGTAAAAGCACAAACCACAATAAACATCATAGTAGCAGGAAAGTATTTTCATTGCTTGAAAAAAAAATAAAATTCAAACTTTGTCATCACATTAAAAACATTACATGAGAAGTAATAAACATATTTACACTTCTGTTTTGATTATAAATATACATTATATACAAAATAATGTTATAAAACGTAGAAAGTTCAGTGCTTCTGATTTTTTTTTAAATTACTGAAATACTAGTCTTCAAAATAAACTACAAACAGACAAACTAAAACCCATATTATTGATTTCTGAAGTTCGTCTTCAAAATGGTCCTATGTGGTCAGAGCAGAAGGTCAGTAGTGGACATTATGAAGGGGTCTTGTCTGCACAGTTCAAGGCAGTAGATGGGCTAATCCAACAACAGGATTTGCAAGGGCAGGAATATCACTGTCAAGAGATAGCGCGGTCCAGGGTTCTTCAGAGAGATCTTGTTTCCTCCCTCCTCAGTATGCCCCACCCCAAGCGTCTGGTCTCATTAGGGTCACAGCACTTTCCACTGCGGTGTCCGGTATTATTGCTTTAAATATGTACAGAAGAAAAGAGGTTCTGCACACCCCTCGTTTCCAGGAGCAGGCTCCCCCTTTTCCATGTAACAGTGGGTGGATATGAAAGAAACAGGACGAGCCTAGAACCTTCCAACTCTAATCTCCACCTGTCTTGGCAGAGGGTGTCTCAGTGGGTGCTTCACTATTGGGCATTCGGAACCGGGATGAAGGACAGGAGCTGGAGTTTTGCAACCAGATGGAGAAATGGAGAGGGGTGGGGGTGGGCATCACACTGCTTCTTCTCCTTCAGAAAGTAACAGCTGCAATTTTGAGACTATTTGAAGTAGAAGGTGGCACCTAATTCAGAAACACGACATAAACCCCCAAATCTGTGTCAAAATAAGGCAGGGTGGGAGAGAATGAGGAAGGAGGAGAAAAAAGTTATGTCTCTATTCACAATCACTGGTAGTGCAAAGGGCATGAAAACAGCTGAGACAGCTCAGCACATAAAGGTTCTAGGAGCTGATTGATTTTAAACGCATTTGTAAGGCTTTAAATAGAGCTGGGATCACGCCTCCTCCTTACCAATGGGGGAGAGGCAGTACACATTCCTTATCACAACTTCTCCTTCTCGAATGTTTAAATCCTCAAAAATCCTGTCCCATATTGTGGCTTGGGTCAATCAGTTCTCCAAAGCATCACTTATAAAATCGGTATTCCTCTTTCCTTCCTCCTCTCGCCCCTTACACAGTCTCCAGTACATGCAGCTGGAGAAAGGAGACGCGAATAGATGTGGAGCAGGAAGTATCAACCACTCCTGCCCAGTACTGTTCAGGTAACTGCAAAAAGAGCAGTCAAGTCTCTGTTTGGGCTTGTTAGATTCGCTTGACACATTTTAGGCACTTTTAAACCCAGAAAACAAATGGAGACCTCCTTTATACTGTATCCATTATCTGCATAGCAATGTGTCTTTCTTCACACCTTCCATGGCAACATCTGCGATAGTTACGTGCCTCCTCATCTACCGGCACCTCCCACAACCAGAGTTCTGGAAAGCCAGGGGTCTGTCCATGAGGAACTGGCCTCAGTATCTTTTAAAAAACAAATTAAACCGACATTTTTAACCCCTCTTTCTTCCCTCTGCCTCCCCTCTTCTATAGCCAGTGAGACTTCTGGTATCAAACTTCAAACAAGGGCAGTAAGAACAAAAAGGTGTATTGCATCTTTCAGTAAATTCACAGTCTGTCCAGTTCACCCAGTTCCATCCTCCGCCTGAGAGCAGCAAGTTGCATGTAATTAAAAACAGTCCAATCCAGTTCTGAATTGTAAACAATGCAGCAGGAACGTCCATCTACTGGCATTACCAAATCTGAGGTGCAAATGGGCTGATCTTCAGTCTTATACCTGTCAGATATAAAACAATACCAGGAATGAGAAGGAAGCACAGCATGCACAGTACTCCAGAACTAACAAATTGTAATTCAAGTATGTTAAATCAAAGCAGTTTAAGCTAGATATTACTGCAATTTAACTGTCAGCATTCAGTGTTTTTAGCTGGGTCCAGAGACAAAGAAACACCACCAAAAAGAAGTCTGTATGACAAGTAGCCTCTCTATGTGGACTGAGGGGAAGAATGCTTACAAATCTGGGTGTTTAACATTAGGTCTTTGTAAAAAGCGTGTGGTATAGTTAAATAGCTTTTCTTCAGAAGCATTAAGCCTGAATGATGTGGGTGGAGGGTTCAGGGGCTGTCACTCTGAAAATAAAAACGCTTCTGGACATGCCGATGTAAATCTGGAAGTCTAGCTTTGGTCAACAAGATGTTCAAAGGAAGATAGGGTATTTAGGTCAGTTAAGGGGAATGAAGCATCTAGCTGTCATTTGTGTCTTTGAAAATCCTTTCACTTAGTCTTAAACTTTCAGTATTGTTGGTTGACTTGTGTTCCAGCTTGCCTTCAAGAGGAAATCTGATATCCACCCTGGCAAGGGAGACAGAATCCTGCAGATCTGACTGCACAGATCACTGTTAAATGGCACAGAAAGCTTCCCTTCCCTGGAGTCTGAAACTAGTCCTTAGACAGCTACATTGAAGGAGGCAGATATCGGCTAGTATCAAATTGGCCTTAACTTCCAGGGAGCCTTCTTCCAAAGTAATTCTTCAGGAACTTCAGTAATTCTTCAGGAATTGACTAATAGATGCTTTCGGAAGGTCCTAGCATTGAACTTTAAAGACTTCATTGTTTTGTGTATCTGTCCTCTGACTTTTCAGTATAACGTCAAAATCTAGACGTGTTTATCAGTTAACAGTGTTAACTTCTGTTAGAGAGCTTAAATGCCAAGAGATTGAAATTATCTTATTACACACTTCCTAAACAGCCATTATACCTATCCACTAACATGTTCAGCTACCCTCCATCTTCTGCTGGAAATCTATAGCTTTTTCTGTTTCCATAGGACATAGGTTATCCATTATAGTCATGGAACAAAAATTGGCTTTACATCAATGGACCTGCGAATGATGATTATTTCAATTTTTGCTGACTACCTATATAAGAAGAAACAATACTGCAATGTGCTGAATTTTTATGGACTGATGTTCTGTGCTTTCAGCTCCCACTGACTTGCCTAAGCCTAAAATCTCTGGTTTAATAAAATCGGAGCTGCTAATTTCCTTATTTCCCCCACTGTGTGTTCTGTGTGGGTCACAGAAGAGCAGAAGTGAATGCTGGGAAGCACTGGGATCCCTGGAAAGAGAATAACCTTCTCAGATACAATCCTAAAGGATGATTTACCCCTTTATTTTCTGAATTTATGGCTATCCACCTATGTACTTACTTACCTCGGTAGCTATGATGCACTCATTCCTTTCTTCTGTTATCACAAAGACAGACTGGTACATTGAATCCCTCGGAGAGCATATCGCTGATATTCTACATTCCGGCTTTTCACTACAGCAGGGCAGAGGGAAAAGAACATTAGTTGCCTGCTAACAAGCCCAACTCTCAAAATCCATCATGAGTACGGAGGGGTGGAATGAAACAGCCGTGAAAGTGTGGGATGGAAGTGCAGAGAACGAGGTTTCACATGTTCTATGTGATCCAGTGTCAGGACACTAGACTAGAGAGGTGGAAGTAAGGAACAGCTACTGTCTTCCTACGCTTCTGCCACGTCCAACCTAATAGCATCGTCCTCCGACCCCTCAAGCAGATCCCAGATGAGACTTTCAGTACATGTGTCAGAAGACTGACGAACCAGTGAATACCTGCCCTTTTCTTGTTAGTATATCATTCTTCTCAGTAAGCAGATCATTTTGCCTTCTTAAAAAGTGAAATACTTATTTTTAATCACTATATGCCTTAACTGTTGTTCCTCCAAGATCTATCAAGCAAGGAAAGAAACTTCCTACTTTTGTTGCAGACCTAGCTGCTCCCATTCCCCTTCACAGTACCCATACTAGCAGCATCCTGCACAAACACTCAATTTAATTGACTTAGCTAAGGATACTACTTAACTGTGACACATATATGAATATTCCTGGCTTTGCTCTGGTTTGGTTTTTCATATATTATCTCCTCTGGTTTTCTTCTTCCCCCCATATTTTCTCATCTGCTTCTAGGCTGGTATGAAGACAAGGGGGCTGAAAAAGGATTAAAAGGAAGACTGCATTCTCACCTGTGTAGTCGGAGGGGAGACTTTTCTCCTAAACACTTTTCACTTTTGTAGTATTTATCTTCCTGTGCCGCTCTACTTGTCAGGTCTTTTACCAGATTGTAGTCCAGTTTATGGTTCTTGGGTTTGTAGTTTGATTTCTCCATCCCACAGTCCACTTCAAGGTCTTTATTTTTATTGGTGTTTTTGAGCTGTGAAGCTGGAATGAGATTGTCCTTCTGGAAGTCCGACAGGTTGTTCATTGTCTCCAAGTCCTGCTCTGGGTGCATCCTCATCTGCCTGATGACCATTGCTATCATGCAGAACAGTATGAGCAAAGCCACCAGCCCCACGCCCATGGATATAGCAATCCAGGGCACTGATTTAGGAGGAAGTGTAACGGGCACCGAATAAACTGGCAATTCGCAACGGTTGCCCATGAAGCCAGAAGGACAGTAGCAGACAAAGTTGGCACTATAAAGTCCGCTGTAGCACGTGCCTCCATTCTCACATGGCCCAGAAGCACATTCATCTCTGGTTTTGATCTCACAGTTCCTGCCGCTGTAGCCTGGCAAGCATGTGCAGGTGTAATCGTTGATGAGGTCATGACAAGTTCCCCCATTGGAACATGGGTTTCTGGCACAATCATTGATGTTTATCTCACATTTCTGACCAGAGAAACCAGGCCGACAACGACACACACGAATCTGACCGAGGTAAAAACAATTACCATCTGAGGGGGAAAAAAAAGTAAAAGAAAAAAATTAGTCTGCAATGCACTTACTTGGAAACCTAAACCTCTCCCTGATTAGCCTTTTACGCTATCTCAGGAAGAGGGAGGTTATTCTACAAAACAACCACACATCCAGAAGTGCGTTCTGGTTTAAACTAAATGTACCATCATGCCTTAAAAATATGCCCTTTCTAAATACATAATAAAGTTAATTTACTTAGTTCTGTCATCTTTCCCATTACATGATAAACCTTGTGCCAGTGAAAGCCCCCCTCAGCCCCAGCAAGAGACTAAAATTAGTGTAGATGTAGAATACAGTGGGGGAGAGGGACTAATGTGTTAGAGGAAAGAGTAGAGGTCAGATTGGATTTCTATCACTTCTGCACTGAAAAGCACAACACAAACGAGTCAGAGACATGAGATTTTTCGATGAAAAGACTCACCATTTGCACAGGGGTTGCTTGTGCACCTGTCTACTTTTTTTTCACAGTTTGACCCTGTGAAGCCAAAAGGGCAGACGCAAGTGTAGCTGGCCCCTTGTTCTTTTTCCAAGCACGTGCCACCGTTAAAGCATGGAGAATCTATACACGTCAAAGCGCTGTGCTCGCAGTGGGTGCCATAGTAGCCAGGGGGGCACAGGCAGTGATAACCATTCTCCATATCCTGCAAAACACAATATCAGGCCACTGTTATTTGCTGGCACCAAATGATAGCTGCTTGCACACTTATTTTCAGGCGTCAGCGAGCGCTGTTCAGTTCCTTCTTATCCACGCTCTGATATGGCAAAAGTGACATTTGGAGAGTAAATAACTGCAGGCTGGATTGCGAGGGATAGAGCTGTGAATCGGCCGTGCTTGGTGTGTAGGAGTAATCATGCAGCCCCGTAAGCAGAGTGGATGCAGTTGTAGGGAGCCTACAGGCAGCCAAGCAAAAACATTACTAATAACACTACTGTCTAATGGGATCCCTGAGGTCCTCCTGCAGCAGAATGGCACGTGTCAACCTACACAGCTGTGATCAGGCCACTTATCCTCGGCACGAGAGCCCTTTTTTTTCTTTACAAGGGCTTACATTGCTTTGCCATGGCTAAGTCCCACCACTTAGACCACAACAGAACTGTTTCTTCTTTCCAAGTGCTGTATGTCCAAGGCCTTGGAGAAGGGAGCTAGCTTTCTAAACACACATCAGATTACATCTGCTATCTCTAATCGATCAGTCTTTATCAACAGGTAGAATCAATCATTGACTGGGTCTGAAAACACGCTGAAACACTAGACTGCAGGAAACTAAAAATGCAGAACCCTGCCTCACAGACAGTGTTTCAGCTGACTGCCCTCATATTGTCTGACATTACAGTGCCACAGCAGAAAGCCCGAGTTTTCTTTTATTTCCTATTAAAATACAGACTTGGCACATTTTATGTATGAACGTTGGTTTGAGAAGTTTATTTTTTACGGATCTGCTCCATCACCAACGTTGGATCTTGCCAAGCTCTCATAATGGCTGCCACAGAAACCTAAGGATCAGTTACTGGTTCTAATCTAGATGATACATCTCCTCCTGTAACAGACTTCCTCCCCTGACACCTCTCGGGAAGGGTTCAGTATGATAGTTGTGAGCGTCAGTAATGAACCTGCGTACTATCGAATTCCCATTATGTTGTTACAGAACCATTTCTGAAAAGCTATACCAGGGCTTGCTTCACACAAAGACTTTACATTTAAAATGCCCTCACCGTGCAACTACCGCCGTTCCTACAGGGATTGCTGTCACACTCGCTGATCTCGTGTTCGCAGTCAACGCCGGTAAAGCCGGGTTTGCATGAGCACGTGTAGCTGCCCTGGCCAGTGTTCATGCAAGTTGCTCCGTTTTTGCACGGTCTGTGGTGAGTGCAGTAGTTCAGATCTGCAAAGATACCAGGAGTTAGAGAGGACGTCTTTGACAGCTGGGAAAAGGCATTCATACAAAACAGCTTTAGCCAACAAAAAAGAATTTTCGATGATGAGTTTCTTTTTGCTATCGATAGGAATATTGGAGATGATTATCCAGATTATTATCAGTAATAATCAGATGTTTCAGATTATCGTTGATTGTACATCCTTCTCTACATCCATCACTGTAATATGTGAGCTCTGAATTTTGAGAGACCTGGCGAACATTTAGTTTTCTTAGTGCTTTGGTATACTCTCCCTTTTTTATGTGCATAAAGCCATTAGCTGCAGTGGGACTTTGATACGGAGTTGGAAAAGGTACTTCGTCAGAGTGTGTTCTCCGAAAGAGGCACCACAGCACGACGGACACTTTGTGCATAATGTGTCACATCCTAAACTAGTGAGCCTTATATTTAAAAGGTGTGCTCTATGGCATGTTCTGGAAAGGCAGGGAGGAAATTAAGCTGTTTTGGTTTGGAGATTTAAAGAAACACTAGATTATTGTTTATTTACCATGCTCTACTGTCTTGAATGTTAGTAGTCTAAACTTTAAATGCTCTGCCAAGTTTGTTGGCCTTTTTCTTTATTTCCCCTTTAAATTCGAGATAGAGGTTAAGCACACGAGTAAGGAGAAAAATTTTATTATCTCTATAAATACCATAGAGTAATTGGAATACAACTGGTTAATAGATAACTATGAGCAGAAAAAAAATCTGCAACTTTACTTTTCCTGCTTAATTCAGACTTCGCCATGTTAATCCTATAACTGTCTTGTAAACACTTAGCTTGCTTTGAGCACTTAATGATCTCAGTGCCAGCAGTACATATATGGCCTTGAGGACATGACTGCTCAGCTGGCTACAGTTCAGTGATTCAGTGGGTTGAATAGGTGGAAGTGGTTTGGTGTACCTTAAAATGGAACCTGTACTTTTCATTCTTGCTTACAGGATTTTTCTCTCATGCTCCAGACTTATCACATGAGTTAACTTCCTTGTATGCAAAATAAGGCAGGCCCAAATGATGGTGTTTACTGCTGCTGGAAACTGTTTAGTAAATTGTTTTAGTTGTACAGGCAATAAACTCAGCTTGAGCAGGGAGAAAACTTGTCTGTTCAACACTCATCCAGGTTGTTAGTTGCTTTTCTGAGAGAAACCCAATTTTTTTACAAGAGAAAAACTGCAGCTACCGAAAAGGTTTCTTTGTTTTCAAATAAAATAACTATAAGAATTACTAGAAGAACTGGTATCTAAGACAGCAGTGGTACAAACTGACGTCTATGAAGTTGTACCTTGTGGAAATTTGAAGTCTAGATCCAGTGGGTCAGATTCCTTAGTCTGGTACTGAGGAGTACCTGAGCTAGAGCTGTAAGCACAACCTTCAGGACTAACCTTGATCACAGAAGAGGCCACCCCATCCTTCATCACATATGCACTGCCATTGTGTTTTACAAGTCCCGTGGCGGCAGCCTATATGGGGAATGCATTCATCGCAGTAGCGGCCTTGCCAACCGGGACGACAGCTAAAAGAAAAGTCAAATTAAAACATTAATGACATGGAAAAGGGTTTAAGTTTCTATTACAAGGTGACATTTTAACTGAAGTTCAGATTGCAATTGCCATCTACTCACATGCACTCTCCGGGCTTGTTGCAATATCCGTTCTCTTCAGTACACCCAGACAGACAGATGGCTGTAAAGAGAACATAAAAAAGCAGAAATGTTTAGGTAAATAGACATGGCAGTACAGAATACGCTTCTAAAAGGGCAAATGGCAGCACTTAAAAAATATTTTGAAAAACAGTTTTGCACTTTCAAAGCTCTGCTTTAAAAATTCTCGGTACGGGGAGTTCTAGAGCAGGAGGAAGTAAACAAGGAGAGCCAACATTTGACAAGCTGCCCTTTAGTTTTTCTGTTTATACAACAAACATGAACTCTTGCTAGAAAAGGAGCAAAAGGAGGCAGCTTTGGCTTGTGCTAATAACAAAAGACTGAAAAAACCCAACAGGACCCCCGAGCTTGCAGTAAAGAGGCCCACCACTACACCGCAACACTGGTCACAGCTCCTCCGGCAGCTGAAACGGTGGAAGTGTTGGGGCGGGCAAGCTGCTAGCATTTTAGCTTGGAACAGATATTGCTGGTGCAGGGATGTCAGCCAAGGTCCCTTCTCTGCTCCCTCACTCTCAGTGGAGCCCAGCATTGGTAGCTGCAGCGGAAGGGGGCAAGGTCCTCAGTGTGCCATGCACTGACCCTTCCCAAGTAACAAGTGATAGGACAAAACAAAATGGGCTCAAGTTGCGCCAGGGGAGGTTTAGATTGAATATTAGGAAAAATTTATTTACTGAAAGAGCAGTGAAGCATTGGAACAGGCTGCCCAGGGCAATGGTGGAGTCACCATCCCTGTAGGTGTTCCAAAAATGTGTAGACATGGCACTTCACGACATGGTTTGGACATGTTTTAGTGGTCATGGTAGTGTTGGGTTGCTCCTTGGACTTGATGATCTTAGAGGGCTTTTCCAACCTTAATGATTGAGTCTATCATTTTATGACTGACCCATGCCCACGAGGACCCTAGACACGGCCTGGGTGGGAGTAAGGGGGGCCCCTCCCTCTGCCACCGTGGTGGGCACTTACGCTCAGTGCAGTACTCGCCGGTCCAACCGGGCAGGCAGGCCAGGCTGCCGTCCGCCTTGCAGACATAGTGCCCAAAGCGGTCGTCGCGGCGCTTGCAGAGGC